TTATTTAACTATGCTCTATTATGCAAGCTTTACATTTTACAAGACAATTAATTGAATGTTGTTATCAGAGGTTGGGTACTGGCTTTTGTGGGGTTCAATTCTTTGAATTAAAAGAGTAATGCTATTTTGATATTAATAAGACATTCAGACTTAATGTATCTAAGAAAGGAATTTCTCAATTTTGTTACGAAAAGAAACATTATCATAATATTTCGACCAACTTACTGTGATTTATTTATTGGTAAACTTGTGGCAAAGCTAGAGGACACTACAATTTCTCCTGAGGAATCAAATTCAAGTAACATACAGTAAGCGTAGCAGATTCCTAGCATTGCACACATATTCGAAGTTAAAATGAAATTTTAAAAAAACGCCTTGCAAGTAATAAAATGTTCGAAATGAGAGACAAAAACGTATATTTAAAAGGTTTGAGATAACACTCGAATGTGAAATGAAGCTTAACTTTCAATGCCTTTCAAATGCCATGCATGATTGAATATAAGGTATAATAAGGAATGCCTTTGTGCAACGATTCTTGGTATCACGAAGACTATTAAATTCAAAAGACAAAAATTCAACAGTTCACAAACAGACACGGTTTATATTATATTCGAACAAAGCCATCAAAAGCAGTTCTATTATTTAAAACGCAGGCATTTAGTAAAACCTTTTGATACAAGATACATTCTTATTATATACTGGAAATATAGCATGTTTATGCGCTGTGAGGAACAAATTAACCGGCCTATTGTGGTAAAAATCTCACTGCAAGACTATGCATTTATTCTTCTGACATGGGTTCGATTGTATGAACTAAGAGACTTAACAATGTTGATGCAATATTAATTATATATAAATTTCTTGTTTCATTGACTAATACAGAAAGATAAGTGCTCTTCATTTGCTGTAGCGTGAAATTTGGCCCAAGCGTACTTCAATATATAATTACTAATTAGTTGTAACTATCTTCAAGAACATTACCACTTGATTAGGAATGGAGGCCTCTACCAATCATCAGTTTATCTATGGATCGCTTTATTTCAACAACTGATATGACATGACAACATGACAACATGATAACATGACCCATATAAAAACATTGGTATGTACTGTTTCAAGAACCTTCAAGAGGATTGAAAGTCAAATTTTAATTTGACAACAGGCTACAGCTCAGGACTCAATGACGATTGGCCACTACCATTTCAAAGTCCCTCATATTCAATCCCGTTCTCAATTATAGTATACTATCTCAAACAAAAGGACTCATGGTGTTCTCAAATACAGCATTCCCTCAGATCCCTAACCTCTGCATGTATAGCAAGGTCCCAAAGAGTTAAAAATAAACTGCTTAGTAACATGATGCAGAGGCGGCTCGTGGGAGCTGGCTGGCAGTTTTGTTGGGGGTCCAATTGATGGACTGGGGGGAGGGGGGCTTGGGGGCCGGCTCAAGCTGATCCCTCCAAACTACCGATTACATTACACACAGGGCCTTGTAAATGTAATGTGTAACACTTTACAGGCGACAGCAAACAAAAACAAAAACTTATAACATGGGTGAAACAGGACACCACACGTGTACGATCTCAGCCGCGCAGTATCACAACAGTCAATAGTTCAAAGGGTCCTGGACCCCCAAATTGAGGCAAATCATAATAGATTACCTGTAGTGGGATGCGCACGATGTGCTTTGTAACGTTTACAACTAACTATGCGTTAAAACTGCGCGGCTGAGTAGTCCAGAGGTAGGATTGGACTCCCTACAACACAAAATTTCACGAAGATCATGCGTGCGCTTACATTACATGCTTACATTACATGCGCCTTCTTCCTGTCCTAAAACTAAAACTTCATCCTATTAAAGTAAAGGCCAGTTGTTACCACAAGCTATTATACCGTCCCTCTCAAAAACATGCCTCAGCCTCCATCAAAAACAATTTTAGTTTTCAGTCCTTCTAGTTTCCAAAAATCTACCGAGCTAGTGTTCTGGTGTGCACAAAAGCCCCTAAGCCCGTGCATTCCTTGCCCCGCTAGCTGCCAGTCCTTGACAAACTTCCAATAGCAAAGATCAACTAGTCATTTACAAATTGAGCACTATACAATTTTAATTGTTTTAAATATTTGACTTTGTAAAATGAGCTAAAACATTGATTTATTAGTTTCATTGATTTATTAGTTTCATTGATTAAAACGTTTTAATACTTTCAACACTACTATATAACAAATAATTTGAGCATGAATAAGAAGTTGTTACTTTGAAACGTCGTTTATCCTAACAGTGCAATATCATTTGTCGCAAATCAGAATAATCAGAAACTATTTGGAAAACCCAAAAACTGTCTATTAAAACGTATGATAGTAAACGAAGACCTTTATATTGCGATTTGTTATTTCCTAACACTATTACTAATTACTATTTCTATTTTAAGCACCAGCCACCAGATAATAATTTAAAGGCGTCCACGGACGCCTGGACGCCCTCAATAGCCGCCTCTGACATGATGCCTTTAAAAGGGGACCGGGGGGGGGCCTTTAACCAATTTGGACAACTTTGATTTTTGTCTAGCCACTGGAATGTTGTTATTCACCTCAAAAGACATTCTTCAAATCCTTCTACAAATGTTGTCGATCAAATCTGAACTAAGAAACTTCACTACTACTGGAATTCGGACTGAAGAGCCTTTACTGAAAGTGAAACAAGCTTTAAAATGGCCTACGATTCAACTTCCACCAGAGTGAAAGGCAGCCATTAGGCCAAGATAACGACATATCAATTGCTTCTTCAAGTACGTATTTTAGATAGTCCATCATACATTAAACTATTTACTCAAATAAGCAGATATCAGCAATTATACAAAATCGTATTAATACAATATACGTTAGATAGGGATCTAAACTAGCTAGAGCATCTGCATTCTGCGCAGAATGTCCAGGGTTCGAATCACAGTGTCACCTAGTCTTAGAAGGAGATAGATAAGGATCCGTTGGATCTATGTGAAGTTGTACATCTCCCACATCTGTTTAAAGGGGCCGGGGAGACCTCGGTTTTTGACGTTTTTTGAGGTCTAAAATTGAAATTTGCTTGCACAATACAATAATACATGAGCGCTGACCTTTGACCGGCAATAATAAAACAGCTGATAGATACCACTCCCCTCTATCAGAAACAAGTATAAAATCAATTTCGAGAGAAATTTCATAACGTCTCATTGGTCGACTCAGCCAAATGATCGGAAAACTTCTTATAGTACCCCTGTGTACTGTAAACATTGTACTATGAACTTGACACTATACGATGCCAAACTGACATATATCCTGTCTAATAAATCATTGTTTTACTATTACTGTAATTGCCCAAACTGATAGATACAAAAACGAAACGACATAAAAGATTACATAGCAGATATCTTTTATTAGACTCAACAATGCATTCATGTAAATGACTTGATGATGTATCCCTGACGTACAGAACAAATCTTTTCTAAAAGTATGAAATTTGTCAAGCACCGAATCACCACAAGTAAGAGCAATTAGCCATTTTCATACAATCTATTGCTAATAGACTTTCTGGGCACCCCTAAAATATATTTAAAGAAATAGTGTAATACGATTAAAATTTAATAAAGAATTAACGATATAATGAAATTTAGATCAGCACGAAAAACCTTAACTTTTTGTATTGGTTTATTCATGTTTTGAGGGTGTCTACACAGCTCAGGAGGAGCAAAGTGCAAAGAAACTACTACTAACTGCTACTAACTGCTGCTAACTGCTACTAACTGCTGCAATCACGCCCACACATTGCGTGCACCGTTTGCAGCAGTTAGTAGCAGTTAGTAGCAGTTAGTAGCAGTTAGTAGCAGTTAGTAGCAGTTTAAAGCAGTTTGCAGCAGTTAGCAGCAGTTTTATGCCTGTCTTTACTGCGCAACGCACGCCGCGCGCAACTGCTACTAACTGTCGCTTTATTTTCGAAATATTATGGACACCAACGATGCAGCTGGTACAAAAAATTTAGTGGTGTACAATTTGTAATAATAAATATTGAGCTTTTCGTATTAATCGATTGACCATTGTTAATGATCTGGCCCGGCGCGCGCTACTTCGTAGCACTTGCCGTCGGGCCATAACATTTCGAGAAGAAAGCGGCGCGCGTTACTTCGAAGAAATTTAGACGAGTAACATCCGTCAAATTAATCGATTAACTAAAATTAAACAAATGATTGTTAATCGATCGATGATGAAAGTTTTTTGTTGCATCAAATAAGCGTTCGCGTTGTATTTATATTCTGTGAATGGCACAAGTTGTGCCAGCCTGGTATATATTACAATGTTTATTTTCAGGACTGCATTTACTCATAAAATTTGTTATTTTAAATGTTAAATGCAAAAATTTACCACGCTCAAGCCAAACAAATATGTAATTATGTGATTAAATAAAAGCGTAACTTTATTGTTCATACTTATACTATAAGCTACGTATATTTTATCTCGTTAAGTTATAAATGGTACAGCATATAATAGCATAGTGAAAAACATTATTTCATTCGTGTCGCAACCCAGTAGTGTATCGTGCGGCGCCTTAACTTGAATATTTACGTAAAATGGGTCATAAATGGCCACATCATAATTTCAATAGTTGTAATTTTAAAAATTACAATTTTACAAATTATAAAACTTTTAACCAAATTTTGTAAATCAAATAGTTTTAATTAATATCTAATTTTTTAACGGGGTTTATCGCGTTTATTTGCTTTGGCGTTACAAAAATGTTTTTGACCAACCCGTTTAAAATTATTAATAATTTGTTCCGATTAACTTAGTAGCTTGTCAATTTTTGCTGCTTTGTTTCCGTCACTTAGATGCAAGAAGCTCGAAAAGGGTGCCGCGCATTGGGATAAGTACGCTTGGTAGGTTTTACTATACTATGTAAAATTAGATCATTCATTCAAAATTGCATTATGATTAAAAAATTTGGAATCATATGCTATTATGTCAAACAACAAATATTAAGCTTTTAATCGAAATTAACTTACAAAATTTTAACAAGATAATAGTAAAAATAAAAGTCGATCATTCATAAACAAAAATTTAAGATCATGCTGCAGATCGAAAAAAAATATATGCATTTAATTTTTCATCGATCACAGCATTATACAGTAATCACAAGTATTTTGAAAAAAATTCTTTCGATTTTTATTATAAACAGTTCACTAGACTAAATATTTGACGAAAATAAATTAAAGAACAACTACAGAACTACAGGGCAACCAGATTGTATGGCCGTAAAAATGCTCGTTACAACTTTATGAAATTAAAACTGGTATTCATAGATTGAATGGCTCTTTTACCTATTCAACATTTAAAAGTTGGATGTAGACTGATACTTCACATAATATGATATCAACAGATGAATTTTATTTTATAGAGTCCTATGATCACGACGAAGACTCAAATATGTTATCTAGCAATTTTTTCAAAGCTTTTCCAATCTCGTTATCTTCTTTCTTCGGCGGTCTGGGTTCTTGATCTTTCGGTTTGTAATCGTTTGTTGAGTACTTGTCTAACCATGTAGGATCCCATTTAGCAAGGTAAGCTCTCAGGGCAGCTTCAGTAGTTCCAGGTTGAACACAAACCTCGGCACCACACCCAGGATGACAGTAGTTTGTTCCTCTTTGTGTATATTTACAGTTACCCAGTGAGGGCCCTTGACAAGCGAGGTGGTAAGGTACTATCTGTCTACTGTGGTAGTGGTATTCAATCTCACCAGTATCAGTAGGTCCAAAGTGTCCACCACATTGATCAACAACAGGTGCTGCTCCTCCAACATCTTGATAAGAAAATATTTTGAAGCCATCCATTGCCCATCCCATCAGCTTAGCATGCTGATATGGCTTAGCCCCATGTTCTATTCCTATTGAAGCATTTTTGAATGGTTCTAGGCACTCAGGTGACTTGTGGAAATGGTAGAGAGGTGGTCCTGCTGGTCCAGGCTCAGGTCCTGGTGGTATGTTTCCAAGCGGAGGGGTAACATGACCGCCGCAGGATAGCTGAATATCTGCTTCATCTATGCTTACATCTCCTGCATCATTGGGTCCTTGAACTCCAATCCCATTAATTGCAACTCCGGTAGAAGGACCGATGTTTTTCTCTCCCCCTACTGACTCTGCGTCATACATGTCACCAGGACGGTCGCTTCGTGTGGGGTTACCTACGAGTGGGATTTTGTAGTTACCTTCAAATGGTGTCCACACATCTCCATATTTCAATGAACCTGGACCATTGTCGCCTCCACAGATCAAATTTGGGAACATGCAAGTTCCTGCATCAATCTCAGCCTGCACGCAGTATCCAAATCCTAGCCCAATAGGACAGTAGAGATTCATGTAGAAATCAGGAACATTGTTGGAGGTGATGTATCTGAATTCCTCGTCTGTGGTCATTTCGAAGCAGTTTCCCCAGTTGTTGGTTGCATTAGCAAACTCCCACTCAATGACAGAGCAGTTTGCAGGCAGTTTGGGGTATTTAGAATAATCAGATATTTTCGTTTTGTACTCGTGACACCTAGGAGACAGGTCGCGGTAACCAGTGTGACACTTGTGCATTGCATGTTCTGAGACTGACGTCTTGAAAAGGTATTCGGGTTTGCATTGCACTGCAATTGCAAGGCAGAGAAGAGCTCCTACCTGAAATGGGTCAAATTAAGTAAGATAGTTCTTAAAAGTTGCTTACAAACTTGATAAATTAACAAGTTATCTCATAAAAACTGATTGGTTGAAAAGTGGACACCCATACTCACTGTTTTCAGCATGATTCAAACTGTTCTCTGACTTCTGTCACACTTTACTTATACAGCTCCTTCCTATTGAGATATCGGGATTGATAAAGAGATATATTGAGACCAGCTTTAGAATATCAAAAGCAACATTAAAATAATAACGACAGATTCTCAACTTCTATCATTGTAAAAACAACAGAAAGTCTACAGAAATATGTAAGCAAGCAGCAAGAAATCAATTACAAAACACATAACATAACATTTTTATTCACAGTTGCAGTACTAAAAATATCTGTCACATGAAACAATGAACCCTTCTCATGAACTTAGTTCCTCGTGACAAGCCTTATCACATCATGTCCAGTTCTCACATGTTTCATATTACAGTTCTGTCTTATTGAATTATCTCTGACAGTTACAAAGTCTTTTTGTGAGAAACTTGGCATTATCATTTTCTTATCTCTTGTTTTTTAAATAGAATTGCCAAAAATTTGTAAGAAAATTTTCGGTTTCAGTATGAAATGCTTTAAAACAGTTAATAACTTCGGAATGACCAGCCGAGAAATATTGATAAAGAATATTCAAAAGAAATTCGGTGATAATTCGTGCCAGTTACCTGTGATATGTGTGTGAAATTTGAAAATGTGACCTGATGACAGACTAACCACTGTTCGGCCAGGTAGGGATGACCTGATGCTATGAAGATGGAACTGAGTTATTCACAACTGAAGAGTTCTAGCGAGGCACGAGAGTCGGAGGAGATTAGGAACGAGACAAGGAAAAGAAGTCTCATTCTCCTCATTCACAGTTATTTAAATGAGCAGGGCTTTCTCAATGCAGGTATTTGTAATTTAGGATGGAGAGCCTTGGTTGAACTGTTTTTGCTGAGAACAATGAAAATTCCCCTTTCCCAGTTGATGTCGTTGTAATCTGTTTTAAGTATATATTTTCGTTGATACACTGACTTCTTTCATCCCAAAATAATTCGTCAAAATTTGATATAAAACTGAGATTTTGTTCACAATAATCGATTACATATTATCACTCAGCTTCAGCACTGATAGACGAGTCTAACATCTCCCTGAAGAAATATGCTCTCTGCGATAACATGGACCTCGAAACTGTTTTACATGTAAGTTCTTTGGACGGATAAATGTCACGTGGGTATTTAGTTGTTTAACGACAACTACACAGTAATGTCGCCTAGACTTGGATCCCACGGGTCATCTATTGATTCGTACAGGGTAGAAATAACTTGCATCTTATAGTTCACAGGTGTTATGACGTTTAATACCGACCTACAGGTGCCACGTGATCTGTCACGTGATCTGTAATAAAGTGTCACGTGGTGTGACTACATGTGCCAGGGACAAAAGGATTTCGCGATTATTTTGGCCAAAAATCGCGATACCGCGAAATTCAACAGTCTATACATTAAACTACACATAAAATTTGTCGCAAATAATGGGAAAAATCGCGATTCCGTACATGCCGCGATTTCCTTTTGTCCCTGACATGTGCAATGGTTTAAAAGTCAAACAAAAGTATTATCTCTTGAAATTGCGAAAGTGTGTTAAAAGAAACTTTTTTCTTAGTGTAATAGATTCTTCAATCACCACTTTAACATTTATCGCAGCAGCTACAATTTACGTTTTACAATAATAGTACATAGCATATTTAACAGATAGTCCCTTTGTTCAAAAGTTATTTATAATCTGTACTATTAAATGTTTAACATTAAAAGTAAGACATGTAATTCTAAAAAGATGAAAACAATTGCACGACCTGCACTCCAATTCACAGTTCTCTCCCCTCAGGAGTTCAATGCTTATTACAACGTTAAGTTTGGGAGGAATCCTAAAATAGTCAAGAAAATGGACACCTCCCACAGCAAGACCAACGGACATGCTCAGAGCAACGTGTCAAGAAAACAGTCCGGCAACTTGCCAAGGTATGTTAGCTTTCTTGTGACGTCATGTCACGTGGTGTGACGTCATGCCACGGGGTGTGACGTCACTTCGAATATATCGAATTTCAGAATGATCGATCGTATTGTTAGGTAAATGTACGTGAGTGTATTCGTCACTTAGATATGCTAAACTTCAAGTAAAACACGATTTTCTGCTCTTTGTAAAACCATGGTAAACTTCTTTAAGAAAAGACGTGATATATTGAAGTGGGCATATTTGCAGAATCTTACACTTAATTCGGTGTATTGAAAAGTCAAACTAAATCAGCGAAGAAACCTGATACAATAGAGAGAAAATTTGTCATGCTATTGGGGGCCTAAATTCCATTAATATTGTGAGTAGTAACTAAATGGGTACTAAGTCCGTAGTAAGTGGTCTCCAAGATGGTTACTAGGTTAGAAGTAAGTAAATGTTTACTAAGATGTTGTTACTGTGCTCCCTGATTCAACACACGTTTTTACTTTATCAATTCTTAGATAAATGTAACCAACGGATTATGTCCGTATGCTCCAAATTCCCTTTTAAATACGACCTTGGCTTTAAATATAAAGCTGGTCTCCCCTTTACAGCGGGGCTTTAAAATTTTTCGTATGCTCCAAAAATTTAAAGGTCGCCTTTAAATCTAAATACGAGGTCATCTTTATCGATAAAGGGGACCTGAACTTTAGCTACTTTGCCGGTATGCTCCAAAATTTGAAGACGAGCTGCTCTTAAAAAACGGTCATCTCCATATTTGGAGTGAGAATTGACCAAATAAGGCAGACCCAGTTTTACTTCCTGTTCACACCTTCCGGGACATCCGTCACACTTCCTCTCACTCAGGTATGGTTTACTGCAGCTTTTCTTTGATTTTTCAGCCTGACTGTGTAGGCATGTTGACTCAGTAATTCCTCCGTGTTCCTTTATAACATCCCTCTAAATCGTAATTAATTTTATCAGCCGATAAATTCGTCGTCACCGCGGTCCCCGCCCAGAAAAGATTCCTTGCTTTAACTTCAGCACTACGTCTAGTGAGCGGGTGCATCATACTGTCGCACCAATCATAAGATAGTTTGATAAATGAACTTGCTCCTCTCAGGTTGTGCAATACTTAGATCAAATTTTCGGCTACATGCCTCTGTAGGCTCTATCGTTAACTTGTACTGTGGTTTATATTGTTAGCTTTGCACTGTATTCTCCACTGCTACCTTTGTACTGTGGTCTCTATTGCTATATGACATATGTGGTCTCTATTTCCAGCTTATTACTGTATTACTGAAGTCTAACTTTTTACTCATGTCTCGATCGCTTGCTTTTTACTGTCGTTTTAGACAGGGCAAGCTCTGTACGGTAGTTTAGTAAATGTATTGATCGTTATTTCTGCCACTTCATTCGGATTAATTAAACCATTTTGTCAGTCGTGAATCGAGTCAGAGCAATGGAAGACGCATTAGATGTGCTTGAGAACGTTGAACCAAATGAATATGTCAGAAGACCTATGAAAGATCGAATGAACCCATTGAGTCAGTATGATGATACAGAGTTCTACATTCGTTTAAAAAAAACTTAAATCTGAAAAATCAAGCGTGGAAAGAGGTTTTTGCATTATACAACAATAACTTGGGTGTTAATCACCGCAGTATTGAGCAGCTCAAGAGCAAATGGGACAATCTGAAAACTTCTGCCAAGAAAAGGAGTGATGCACTGAAACGGCATCTAAATCAGACTGGAGCAGCCCCCAATCCTAAACTGAATCTGAGCCCGAATGAAGAAAAGATACTGGGAATCATGATGGGGGCCTTTGATCCAATCAAGAACGAATACGACAGCGATAACGCAATTGAGGAGAAGGAAACTAAAGTGGAGATGACTGGTTGTGTGAGCCCTGTTGCCACTGTGATTGATTTGGAAGAGGACTCCCGGCCAGAGGGTCAGCTGGAAGAGACAGATGACATGGAGACGGCAACAAGGAAGCGTGACGTTGACGTGATGAAGACACCAGGTAACAGTGGGACTGCCGCCTCTAAAAGACCCAAGACTCAGGCACAGACTGTAAACCAGCTAAGAATGGACTATATGGAGCTACAGAAGACGCTGCTGCTAGAACGGCACCAGAGATATATGCAGCTGATGGACACTTTGGAAACCTGTGCTAGGGAAACCTCCAGGTTGCGTGAAGAGAGACCAGAGCACAGCCAGCTGCAGGATTTGGAGACAAACACTCACCTGGCAGACCTCATCACCCAAAGTTTTGGGGTCATATCTGAGGACAACTGAATTTATACTAGTACCTGATAATATATGCAAATGATATGTACAGTTATACACAACTGCAATTTCTACCTACAATTTTTTTGACAATTTTATATACAATTTTTATTGACAAGATTTTACTGCACAATACGACAGTTTTATTCCTTTGTTTGACAAATATGGCCTTCGGTATGACAAAAACTTGAGCATCGCATTTCGTAAATTATCAGGCACAGTTCTAGTGCCATTTAAAGACGACCTTGTCGTTTAAAGTACATGGGGACCCTACTTTAAATTTTCTTCGTTTAAAGTCCAACTTTAAGGGTGACCTGGCCTTTATAATTTTGGAGCATACCGGTTTAAAGTCAGCTTTACAAGGTGCCCTTTAAATTTAAAAAAATGGCGTAAAAATTTGGTTTGCATGCGAAATTATACAAAACACAACTTTAAAGCTCAGCTGGGCTTTAAATGGGCTTTAAAGTCGACTTTACCGTTTGGAGCATACGGACATTAAACTATCACTAAAAGTGATAAGAGTGTTACTAAGATATTAATATAGAGTCTCAGCTATCAGTTTGAGTTTGAGGAAAAAAGTTGCTGGACATTAAAATCTTCGACTCTGCAAATATGCCCAATTTTAACTCGTAAGCGTTTGATGTTAATTGTTCTCTTGAAAACATGTTTGTAGAATCCATGTTTTGCTAACACAGTAATTATATTTTAGAATTTCTGATCATAAAAATTACATTGTGAGGTAGGCCTGCAAAGTGCAGCTGTTCTTTTTATCTCATAAAATCTTTGCAGAAGCCGCGCAACTTTGTTCTCCATTTATTTCAGCTTATTAACAGAAAACCTTCAAGCCAGGGCCAAACTAACAGGATTTGGTGCCCTCAGAAACAAAACGTACGACAAAAAACCACCGTCTCCAGAATCTCGGTTTGCATGGAATCGTCACGTTATACCACGTGACGTGACGTCACCGCATTATCACGTGACGTCACCACATAACGTGACGTCACCGCATCACGTGTAATTATTCGGACATCTGTGAGCATCATATTAGTGATTCCAGTGAAGCAAGTGATTAGTTTCAGCTAACCATGCCTAGCTGCCTTTTAGCCTTTTATGAGCTTAGTAGCTTAGTAGTATAGACTTTCATAGTGTATAGAACTATATCATATCACAGTATATAATGGTCACTTTCGTGTAGCACTTATAGTTAAATGTACTTTCTATCATAAAGTTTTAGCAGTTTAGAGTTTAAACGCACAACAAGGGCACAAGGGCACGACAAGGGCACAACAAGGGCACGACAATCGGCACGATTATCAGACTGTTTCCGTAGATTGTCTGTAGATCGACTAATGAAGAGAAAAATTACGCTGTAAAATGCTATAATAAGACTTATCAGCCCAATCAGTTAAAACAACGACTACCAAATCAATAGCTACTGTAACTTAAAATGTCTCTTATCAAGACCACGAAGAATACCAAAATACCGCGAAACATTAGTGTTAAACGGTGAAGTCCCAGCAGTACTACTCAAATATTTGTTTTAGTATGTTACATTGTAACAAGAGAAATGCCACGTGATCTGTACCACGTGATCTGTATTCAAGTGTCAGGTGGTGTGTGGTACTTAGCAGGCAGGAAACTATAGTTCTCTGTAAAATAACAGAGGTTCTGGCAGGAAGGGTTCTAAGGGTGAGAAAATATCGCGAATACTTTAATGTAAACAGTCGGGCTATTTTTTTTATCAATAAACTTTAAAATTGTTACACAAATACATCATTTTATTTCAAAAAAAATATCGCCGAATGACCATACATGCCTTGACAAGTGACCGAGTGTAAACAAAATTAGGGACACCGAAACACCAGTTGACCAGTAAACTGATCATAGCAATTACATCGGGCCCTATATGGGCAATTTCATGAAACATGAACAAGGAGGGGAAAAAATAAATTTCTGTTATGAAACTAGCTTTGATTGGAGTCTGAAAGAGAAGATCATAAACTGTAAGACACAAAAAACCGCTTATAAATATCTCACTTCGTTTCTGTGTTATCGCGTTTTCAAAATACCCATAAATTGTCATGTTTTACAGGCCAAAACTATTCTATAATAAAAGCTGTTTACTAAAAAGAGATTGTTGTAATATTCATTAATTCTTGATCTGTAAAGGTGCATACCACTTCACTGAAGCTGTATGCAAAATTTGGGACTCAAAATTTAAGCAGATTCGGAGCAATGCTATTCTACTTTCTCCTGTTTTTAGTGTAAATTACTATACATAATTTGACCAAAACCCATAATCATGGGTAGAGTGAACCGCTGCCAGTGTCTCTCTTTTTCAAACAAAAGGAAATGATATTAATTTGAGGAACCGTCCGCAAATGCAAATTGATACCGAGAATGAAATCGGTCGCTCGCTTTTCCCATTCAATAAGCTTTATTACAATTCGTAAGCCGTGAATGAATGGGAAAAGCGAGCGACCGATTTCATTCTCGGTATCAATTTGCATTTGCGGACGGTTCCTCAAATTAATATCATTTCCTTTTGTTTGAAAAAGAGAGACACTGGCAGCGGTTCACTCTACCCATGATTATGGGTTTTGGTCAAATATCATCTCTTTTTGATTATAATGTCAGGATAATTTACACAGTCGAAACTTCATTAATAAGGAGGTAATTTCAACAATTTTGAAATTTCACCTTGAAAACGTTTCCTTGTGTTCAGGTAGGTTTATCTGTCGATAACAGACTGAATATGGCACTTTTTACTCATTCAAGTTGGCATTTATTCATATATAATGCCATTTAAATATCGTGGGAAAGCAGAATATATTCGAAATCACGAATGAGCAAAATTCTCACCTTTCGCACATGCAAACTTTGAGCGGACGTTGCGTGCGCATACAATATTGAATCACCATAAATTTTTGCATAGTGGTATTTAATATATAGTTTGATAAGCATGCAAAGTTTCAGAAGATTTCAAAAAGAACTTGGATCACAACGGGACTCCAAAGTTGATAAAAATTGTGAAAATAACAATTTTCAGTGATTTTAGCTATTTTAAATCAATTTGGGCGTGTCCCCACGTGTGCAACTTTTCGATTTTTAACTTTAAAACTAGCCTATAACACAATTTAGACCTTTAAGAAGTAAAATTGAGCTCCACAACCCAACAGATAGCCCAACACCAGAGAATACTAATTCACAACTTTTGTGTTTTTATAAAATTATTCTTCAAAAAAGCACTAACTTCAATAGCGAATATTTTAATGAAGGAGTAAGGTAAGAAACTTTTCCGGTAGATTTTCAGAATGCTTGAACAATTATCTAAGATGAAAATGTCCTCAGATTTTGAATAAAATTACTCCTTAATGGTGTAAAATCGATTTGAAAAGTTGTTATTTTGTCAAAAATCAAGTTTTAAAAACACTTAAATTGATGACGTCATCAAGTGATGATGATGACGATAAATTATTTTTCAATATAAAGTAAACTAAAGTATAAACGATTATCTTTCAAACCTGTGGTTCGAAATGACTGTATCTTTTATACTTTTGAATCTACGGACACTTAAATGTAGGCTACAATTGACTGCAAAAAGCGTCTATACATACATATATATATATATATATATAGCTTCACGACAATCTGTTGTAAAACAGGGGTTCCAGAAAACCCACTTCCCGATACTCCTGAAACATGAAATTTTTTTTACAGTCGATTTGGACAAGGTCTAGACGCCCTGCAACGTTTCAGATCTCTGACTCAATTTTAACATGGTTTTTAAGGCACCTGAATATGGCGATTTTGGGTTTTTTACCTAATTTCGTATAACATGCTGGCGCGTATTTTGCGCAAATTTCTTAAAAACCTCCACATAACTATTTCTTATTCCTGTCATCTTTAACATTGAATTAGAATGTTTTGAACTTAAATATACCTGCTGAATTACTTTCGATGAGTCTTAATGCCTGGAAAACAGTAAAGGGGATATAATAGTATAGGGGGTAAATAGTGTTGTGAATATAAGGGCAACGGTTATGCTTGCCAGCATTGTGAAAAACAAAAAAGTTTTCTGCTGGCCACATTTCATGTTATTTCTTGCTGAAATCTTGCTAAAACAAGCTAACTCTGATGTCAAGACATAATGTACTTGTTTATTTAGATCCATAGATATCAGATCATATCAATACCAGCGTCAAGTAAGTTACATGTCAAGTAATTTACGTGTCAAGTAATTTACACATATGCTTTTTATTCAGTAATAGTAGTAAAACACAACAAGTAACTATTGTCAAACAGAATAAAAGTTATTTAAAAGTGATAATAGATTGGTTCTGGTCAGAATTTCATTAAAGAAATCTATAAAAATGGTTAAAAATGGTTAAAAATTGACTTTTCGAAAATAATACTTTACTTTACAGAAAATCCAGTGGCCTGCTTGAACACAAATTTTTGAGCTGGGAAACATTCGTACATTTACGCCCACCTACCTACTCTGTATAACTGGGCTAACTGTGGACCCAATCAGTGGATCAATCAACCAATTAAGGGGGCCGGGGGGGGGGGGTCTTCATCAAAATTATCTCGAAATTGATTTTATAGTTGTTTCTGATAGAGGAGAGTGATATCTATCAGCTGCTTTTGGTCCCATGGAAAAATATTGTTCCTAGCCAAAATTATCGCCAGTCAAAGGTCAGCGCTCATGTGTAATTGTATTGCGCGAGCGATTTTCAATCGCGCGCCCTGAAAATCGAGTCTAAAAATCTATCTCCTCCTACATTTTTTGAGCAATCACCCTGAAACTTTCAGGATATGTTCTAGGGATCATTTAGAAGATATCTGTCGAGCCGAATTTTGAGATAGGCCTTAGAAGATTTTGTATTCAATTTTGAAAATCTTGGACCTGGAAAAATCGTAAAAAAATGAGGTCCAAGATTTTCAAAATTGAATAAAAAATCTTCTAAGGCCTATCTCAAAATTCGGCTCGACAGATATCTTCTAAATGATCCATAGAACATATCCTGAAAGTTTCAGGGTGATTGCTCAAAAAATGTAGGAGAAGATAGATTTTTAGACTCGATTTTCAGGGCGCGCGATTGAAAATCGCTCACGCAATACAATTACACATGAGCGATGACCTTTGACTGGCGATAATTTTGGCTAGGAACAATATTTTTCCATGGGACCAAAAGCAGCTGATAGATATCACTCCCCTCTATCAGAAACAACTATAAAATCAATTTCGAGAGAATTTTGATAAAGACCCCCCCCCCCCGGCCCCCTTAAGGGGGCCGGGGTGTCTTCATCAAAATTCCCTCGAAATTGACTTTTTAGTTGTTTCTGATAGAAGGGAGTGATATCTATCAGATGCTTTTGGTCCCATGGAAAAATATTATTCCTAGCCGAAATTATTGTCGGTCAAAGGTCAGCACTTATGTGTAATTGTATTGCGCAAGCAATTTTCAATCACGTGTCCTGAAAATCGAGTCTAAAAATCTATCTTCTCCTACATTTTTTGAGCAATCACCCTGAAACTTTCAGGATATGTTCTAGAGATAATTTAAAAGAGATGAGCCAGACAGAATTTTGAGATAGACCTTTAAACATATTTTATTCGATTTTGAAAATCTTGGACCTCGTTTTTTGACGATTTTTTGAGGTCCAAGATTTTCAAAAATTGAAAATCGCTCGCGCAATACAATTACACATAAGCGCTGACATTTGACCGATCATAATTTCGTCTAGGAACAATATTTTTCTATGGGACCAAAAGCATCTGATAGATGTCACTCCCCTCTATTAGAAACAACTATAAAGTCAATTTCGAGAAAATTTTGATGAAGGCCCCCCCGGCCCCTTAATTGGCTTATGATAAACTGATATATCATTATTAATCATATATTACATAGTTCATA